GAAAAGCTGGCGTAGTCACCGAGAAACAATGCGGTCGTGCTTGGTGTTAGATTCCTGAAGGCTCGTATTTGCTCAATGGAGCAGACCATTGACGTCACATTCCTTTGGTTCGTTTGCCAAAGAGAAACTGTTTCAAAGCACCTTTGACTTCGTTCGACCGACCAGCTAACAGTTATTCAGAACGCCTTGTTATTAATTTTATTATTTGTTATTATTTACGTTTATTTTGTTGATTTGATTGAAATGGCTAATTAGTTAATCATGGACGTCGAGAAGTGGAAGTATCGGTTGGGTTTAGTGCATCGGTTATAAAGAAAGCAAGCAAATTCGCCGACTTTGAGAGAAAAATTAGGCTCCTCAAAAGTAGTGAAAGCAGAGGTTATACAAGATTGCCATGATGGAAATGACATATAGGGAGCATTTGGACGAGTTTTCAGTAGTTGCAATTGCGCAATAGGTCATGACAAGTTATTCGAACCTTCCACATTGGCTCCATTATGAATGGTGCACCCTCTACAGTGCCTCGTTGAAACTCGTCCGCGCATACACAAAGTACGATCTTTGAGTCTCTATGACGCCCTACCAAGGCCTTTTCCGGTCTGGGACAGCCACATGCGATGTAGGAGGGAGCCACAGATTCATCCAAACTGGGCTCTTGAGTAATTTGAACTAACGTACGAAAGACCAGCTCATGTATCGATGAAGACGTAGTGCTCAGACGCTCCATTGGCTACTTCGCTGTCACTTTCAGCTTGTGAGGCTTGTCACTCTACTTCGCTGTCACTTTCAGCTTGTGAGGCTTGTCACTTTGGATTTTCAGATTTCTACCCAACTACTGTATTAACTTATTTACTTATTTAGTTACTTAGCCGAAAAACAGTGGATAACGGTAACGGTAGGCAAATGTCTACTGTCATGTGAGTAGAAACAAGCCACACCTTTCACTTCCAAGCAGCTTCTATTGTTGACGGATAGTAGTATGAAAAATGTAACTTTAAATTTTTTAGGGCCTAGAGCTCAGTTTCCAGAGGTATTTATTGCTATACTTTTCGAAGAATTATATCGAAAAAGCTGGCTGTCGCCTTTTTTAGTTTCGTTTCTGCCCATTAGTTGCAACACTTATCGCAACTACTTCGCTGTCACTTTCAGCTTGTGAGGCTTGTCACTTTGGATTTTCAGATTTCTACCTAACTACTGTATTAACTTGTATACTTATTTATTTACTTAGCTGAAAACACTTGATAACGGTAACGGTAGGCAAATGTCTACCGTCATGTGAGTAAAAAGATGCCACACCTCTCACTTCCAAGTAACTTTAATTGTTGACGGATAGTAGTTGAAAAATTGTAACTTTAAATTTTGTAGGGCCTGGAGCTCAGTTTCCAGAGGTATTTCTCGAAGAATTATATCGAAAAAGCTGGCTGACGTCTTTTTT